TTCTGACACCCATTATATCTCAATTTTCATTATTCTCTTCATAATTTATAATTAAATGAAAAATGATAATATTTTACACTGGAAAAAGAGTCTGGTTGTATTAATCCTCCAGTACCATTTTATGCCTTTTAAGGCGCAGTCGATATCACATTTTCTCAAAACTCTTACTCAGATTTTAATATGTAAAAATAAATAAAATACACAGTACGGTTCCTATTACAGTAATAAAAATTGTTGTTAAAGGTTTTCTGCATAAATGTATTATATAATTCTAATATAATATATATTGAGATAAATTCTAATTCTAATTGATATGATCGGAATGTCTTTTCTGGTTCGTCCATTTTCAACCAGAAATTTTTTCCAGTATATCCTTTACTTTAAAAAACGTGGGTGTAAAATTAATATATTACAGTGTTTATACATAATTTTAAAATTTTTATTGTATTAATTACGCAGTATCTTTTAAGACCGTAATGTGAATACACAACAAATCGGAAATAAAAGTCCTAAACGGTCAAGTTGGATCCTTAGTGCTTAAATAATTCCGTGTAAATTTATATACTACATGTTCTATCTTGCAAACTGCGCGAATTTAATTTTCAGTCTCGAAACGCAATCCTAATAGAACTAGAGCAGTAATATCTCAAATTAAATTGACAATTTAATAATTGATGCTCATAGGCATCTTCGAAAATATTAATAATACGATGTTGATAAGCATCAAATCTGCAAATAATTCATTACGAAACATATTATTAACATCAATATTCTTAAATTGCTTGTCAATTTAATTTGTGACATTACTGCTTTAGTTCTGGATTGCGTTTCAAGACTGAAAATTAAATTCGGCGCGCAGTTTGCAGAATTGGATATAAAAATTCGCGGAATTATTTAAGCACTAAAAGATCCAGCGTGATCATTTAGAGTCTTTTTTTCGACCGTAAATTTTTACTGTGTTGGATTGGAGTTGATAAGCACCAACATGGTATGAATTCAATACCATGAATTTAACGTCATTTACGTTATAAAACTCATAATGTTATATCAATGAATTTAAAATCATGATGTTAAATTCATATCATGTTGTTTTCTTGGTGTTTATATCTACCCCAACGCGATGAGAATTATATTTAACACCTCCATGGTATTAAATTCACATCCATATTTTTTTGAGTGTTTAGATCAAGATAAATACAAATTTTTTTTAAATGGTGAAACAGTTAATGCTAAATAATAATGTGTATAAATACTATGAATATTATTCATAAATTTAGTAAATTTATAAAGCAAAGGTGTTCTAGATATTCCACGAATAATAACGAAGAGGGAAAAAGGTTAACGTTCCTTTTCTAAAAGTTCTCTAGCTTGCAGAACATTGAGGGGGAGAGAGAGAAAGAGAGAGAGAGGCTTGACTGCGTGAAATTTAATTTTCGTGCAGATCGTACGTCCCGGAGGGGATTTACGCTCGTGAGACTTTGAACGGCGCGGCGGCAAAATTCTTATCGCGGCGTGTTGCGTCTACGTGAATTACGCGGCGAGTCGCTTTACGTCGCCGGCGAGGAACGACCGAAGGCGAGGCAGAGACGGCACGCGAGCACCCACTGGCCACGGCGGGCGATAAGCGTATTTATTGTTTCGTCATTCTACGCTCCAAATGCCTGGAATGCGAACTTCATTACTTTGCCATTGTCGCGCGCACGTCGCGTCGCGCCGATACGATGTACAAATCGCCGAGACCCCTCCGCGCTAGTAATTCGCGACAACTTGTACGCGCTAATCATCGACCTAATCGTCGGTATGCATCTCGCGAGTTCGGTATTAACCGATTATTTCAAATTGCGCGCATTTACGCCGTGATTATTCAGACAGGAATCTCTCGACGAGATAGTTTCCCATCGGTATGTTTTATCTACCAAACGTAACACCATCTAGAATAGTAAGTGCAAAGATTACTTTCTTGTACTTTTTCCAAAGTTTGATAATAACAAGTTACTCGATATGACCTAATCGATTTTTGCTAAGTTCAACACTGAAAACTAGTAAGTGGTCAGATTCAAAATAGGAAAAATTTATAAATATTAATTGACAATATGAGACATTTTCAATATTTACATGGGTGCAGTAAAGACTTAACTGTCCATATAACTATACTTACAAACAGCAAGTAGATCATATTCCGTGCAGTTACCTTATAGTATGCCATTATTCTTGTTATTCGAGGTGAAAAGATCAAAGAACTATATTTTGTCATAAAGTAATTAAATTGTTCGGAAAAATGCATACGTAAAAGTATGTAGAAAAATTTATAAGAAATATTATATATTATTTTATTTCACCCCCTGGATCTGAAATCCTTTCATCACAGAGGTACCTTTGTCGCGGTGCAACGCGCGTAGGCTGTAATTCTTTCAGATGCCTCCTAGTGATGGGGAGAATCAGGTAGAATAAAGGGGGGTGAGAATTCCAACAAGCGAAAGTAAGTCAGTCGAGTTTTTAGCTCGAGACACATTTCGCTCTCCACGACCCTATTAACAACGGGTCTGTCTGATAACTCAATTTCGAGGGCTAACTCGTGTAAAACAGATAGGGCGAAGTGACGCGAGCGGCAACGACAATCGACGGGGACGGAAGCGGATACAAAGGGGGTTGTCCCCGTTCCCTGCCATCTCGCGATGGTCTTACGCTCGCCAGCGAGCCCGATAGCCCGATAGCCCGATAGCGCGATAGCGTTGCCGGCGTGCAGTGCCGGTTATTGGAAATAGCCCGGTCGATCTACCTCGCCGTGAAATACACACAAGTCTAGCGCGCGAGCCTACGTCATACCTTGGCGTGTGTACATTATTCATGGCTATCGTGAAAAGGGCGCCAGCCGTATTACGTATGCCGCGGGTTATTATGCCCTCTAAATGTTTAATGTGTTTGCCTTCCTTCGCCGGCCACGGACGTGGCTTTATGTTTTAGTAAGTAAATTACTGTTTTTTTTTTATTAGTCCTCCACCACGTTTATGTTGGTTCAATCGATTCACACAGCTCTCTCGCTCTCTTTCTCACTCTCCTCTCTCCCGCCCCCTCCCCCCTCCCCCTGCCGCGTTCTTTCTCCCCTTTCTCTATTTAATACGTGTGTATGTGTGTCTATGCTACGTATTGTATGTATGTATGCATGTATGTACGTATGTATGTGCGCGGGGCCGAGGTGAATTTTTGTACCGGCGCTCGGCGAATATTTAATCGCCCTGTCTTATTCATTTTTAGTGCGTCGTACGCGCTCCCTCCCCCACCCCCTCGTCTCCCCTTTCGTGCCGAAATAAGAGCGGCCGCGCACAATGGCGCGCAATGAATTTCAAAGTTCGGCCCTCCTTTCACGGGCCCCGGCCGCACAATGGCGGAAGGAAATAGCGACGATTCGTAATTGTTTTGCAAGTGCCGCCTCGCCCGAGTCTCGCTGAGGAAAAATTTCCGTGACTCGCCCGTGAGATACGCTCTCATAGTTATAACGATACAGCGCGCGGACCCCCCCTTCCGCCCCCTTCCGCAAAACGGGGACTCGCGACGAGAGGGACGAAACGACAGAAGGGAGCGGGTAAAGTTTCTCGTCGACGCCGGAAGTTCGTTATTTACAAAATTAATATCCGGCAGCTTTTCCTAGGACCTCCGTTAGTCGAAAGGGGGGGGGGTGGTTCACGGAACGGAGGCGGTCCGCGTGGGCGATAGGGGGT